GGATCGGAACTGCTGCTGCTTCTTTGGAGTTGTAACTGTAGCTTGAAGAAGGCTTCTTACGGGTCACTTGTTTTGGCCCATTGAGATTGAATACCTTGTTTTTGTTAAGGCCCGTATCAGCCCAAAACTCGTGATCAGTCCGCTCCACGACTCCATATTTTGCACGTGCTAAACAACCAGCTTTTCAAATCATTTTTTATTGCAAGCAGCTCTAGTACCTCGATTAGTTGAGTTACGATCACACATGAAAATCTAAGGTTTAGTTTGTCTGCCATGATGCTTTTATCTTATTGTGTTTTTATAAAAAGAAATATTATGGTGCTGCTTTTTTTCCCAAAAGTGTTTTTAAAATACCATGTTAACTATTTTTTGTCAACGCTAGTTTGACTCATTACAATATTAGTAGGGAAAATTGCTTCCAGCCCCCAAAACAACACAGAACGTGCTCTGCCCCCCCAAGACCTTTTCAACGTGTCTCCCTTGGCTCCACCACGCTTTACTGTAGTTAATCTTGATGCCCCAAAATTAGAGGCATGCTCGTTCTTGCATATCGACGCACGCCACCGCAAAGATCTGGCCTAACCTTCCAAAACAGCTTCGATTTGAGGCTAGCAATGAACTTCCTTGATGCCCTTGAGAGTTGCCAGCATTTGCTCCATGTTGACCGCAGGTGTGGGTAGACTCCGAAATTTCTTTATGGACATGATAGACGAAATTTCCTGAGCGGGGAAAGCCAAACAACATTCCAAGGGCAACCATGTGTGTGTTTGAATCCCGGCCAATAGACTCTTCATCCCGTCTTTGTTCATTGTTGTAAAAATCATACTCGAAAACCGTTTAGCCAATTGAATAGTATTGAGTGCTAATCTAACCTTCAGCAGCACTATCAAAATTTCTGGACCAACTTCACGTATGGAGGTTGTGCCACTCAGCTTGGGATCTTCTGTTGCGTGATTAAGCATGTCTTCCAGCAGCATCATCTGAGTCCGCCGGTGTGTGTCATTAGCCGAATACGCCTCATCATTACAGGTTTGGGTGAACGGGCGTATCTGCCCGCCACGACGAATTTCTTGTCCGCGTATTGTCCTGAAGTATAAATCCAAAATACATAGCCTTAAGCCAACGAAACTGCATAACCTTAACAACGAAACTCATAAAACGTACAACCTACACATATCCTTAACAACTAAACCCTCTATACTTAAGGCGCAACTCAGTGACCTTAACAACAAACGCATATACTTAACATCAAACACCTAACTTAGCCAAACCAACTAGTATACGTCAACCAGCCAACAAATACTTTAACACCATAGTGCTTAACATAACCTTGTACAACCAACACATTACCAAAAGCAACCAAGGCATGGAGCGTTAACAACTAATGCAAAACCTATCAGTGAACTCAAAAGGCAAATTCTGGAGTGTAATTCCTACGCAGTTTCCGGCCGCTAGTCTGCTGTCGTTCATGCGAAGTGAGGATTCACGCAGCCGGGCAATGTGGCATACAAATTGCGCGTCTGTAAATCCATTACGCCGACCAATACTCGAACATCAAATTTAAGTCGTCGTCATTGTCAATTGAAATGCTGAATTCTTTTCCTTTTCGCATTATGAGACTTCAGTTGAAAGAGATGTGCGATTGGGTTATTTTAAGCCTTTCCTGCACTCATTATTCAATGCCTGATATTTCTGTATTTCTCTTGATAACGACGGAATAACACCGCTCACCAGCGCTTTGTTGCTTTTGTGCCTTCGCTACTACGCCATAGAAGAGATCCATCGCAGTTTTATGACAGGCGAGTGGTTTGGAAGAATCGAAGAGGCTTTTTATGAGCCATAATTAAGTGGGAAGCGAACAACTTAGCTTGAATGGGCGGATTATAGCTAGCGTTGATAATTATCTTGATTGATAACTTTTGGAGGGAAATGCGTGAATTCCCCCCCAAAAAGTCATTCATATCACCATTTAATGCCTAGCAGTCGAAACGATGCGTCCGTCTGCTGAGAGGGCGACGACACATGCTCGCCGATATGTATTTTGGCATTTCGCAGGCCGGTACTGCTTTAAACGGAAGGTGCGCCTGAGTATTCGTTTTGGGGGCTGGAAAGAAAATCGGCGGGCGGTTTTGGCCGGGTTAAAAGGCACG